TTGCTGTAACAGATCTGTATTCCCATTTTTATGCTCAGCGACACATATATACAGTAAATATGCTATTTTCTCAGGACACTATTTGGGCCCCGGCATGTTAGGTATCGTTGGAAAGGTCTTGGCCCAAATAGTCGGAAATACTATATCCCCCATGCCTAAAGTGAGGTCTAGGCAAAAATATAGCGGTTGGAAAATTTCGATAAATTTTCAAATCTATACCCATATCTTACGAAGGGGGTACCCAGGGGGTGGTCTGAGGTGTCCAAGAGAACCTCCTCTTCGCCACGTTTCCAACGCCTGCTAAGTGCCCCAATTGGTCCAAAAACGAAAAAGTTATGGGCATTGGAAGTTTGAGCATGTTTTTTTTTAAAGTATTGATTTGTGCGTCCGTCCGTCCGTACGTGTGTCCGGAAACTTTTTTTCCCCCACAGATTCCGGTGCCGATATGCCCAAGCTGTAGCTGGTGTCGGGCCACATCGAAACCCGTCCTCAGATTGACATTTGCAATACAGGAGAGCTGGCTATGGCTTCGCTAGCCTGCATGTATACGATTTTTTCAAGTATTTATTTCGCACACTAGATCAACTCAGACACCCATCGGGCAAACTTAGCTCGTAATTATTTGAGAAGACCTTTAAAAAGTTCCATACACACATGCCAAGGTTTATGTGATATAAAAAAAAAGTGGATTATTATGAAAAATCGACCCCCTTAAATTTCACACCAAACGCGATTTTTCAAAAATCAGACCGATATACTTTTACCAAAAACTGAGCGTTTGTAGCCGGCTACCATACCAACAAAATGGCATATGCCACATATCCGGGAAAATTCGTATTTCGAAGTTCTGGGCATAGGCAATTCATCAATGAACGGAATTTGTACGAAGAGTCGCATTCTACGATGAAATTGCTGCCAAAAATACGCATCTACTGGCTGAAAAAGGCTCACGAAAGACCATATCCGCTCAATTTTCGACGAGCAATCGATTAAAAGTGGTCACAATGAGATCTGAGGCTATTTCATGGTCGAAAAATAGGTCGGATTGAAGTGAATTTTCCAACTTGCTCTATTTTCACTGAAAATGATGTTTTTGTTCGGAAAACACGTGAAATAGACCTCTGACGAAATTTGGTCTTAGAAAACTGCTATTTTGTCGTGAAAGTAATGGGAGTCCACGAACACTTGAATATCCATTTCGTTGTCATTTTGGTCATAAATCGGCATTTTGGCATCTGAATGTATGAAATTGAACTTTCGTTCGGGGGATACATAAAAAATGCACTTTCCAGAGCTTTGGTGGTTGGGAACTAATATTTTTAATGAAATAATGAGAATCCACAATCGTTTCAACACTCTTTTAATGGTTATTTTGAAATTTAATCATATTTTACCGCATTTTATAATGTGCAATTAGAGGAAATTGGGACTTTTTCAATGGTAGTGGAAATTAGATGCAATCTCCAGAACTTGTGAAATTAGAATGCCAATGTGTTACCTAGAAAATGGCAATTTCCTGATAATAAGACCTTAAAATAGACATACTTCTGGTAAAAATGTATTTTTCCAAAAAAAAGCCTTACAAAAGTAGTGATATCAGATTAAAAACCTCTAGACGAGGTTGAAATGGAGTGACGCTCCTGTGCGTGGTTTTACCACTCAAAATGACTGATATCATTTTGAGTGACGCTGTATTACCATTTCAACCTCGTCTAGAGGTTTTTCATCTGATATATATTGAACGCTAACTTTTGCAGTCCTGATGTCGCAAATAAATTATTTCAAACGCTTACAAGCGCTTCATATGTAAGCATCCCACATTTTTTTCGAAGCGATCCGGGCCGGGCAAATCCGGGTGAATTTCCGAGAAATCCGGGCAATATCCGGGCGATGAGTCCCGAAAATTTTACTCAAAAATCCGGGCGAAATTCAAATTTTTCCCGGGCCGAATCGCTTTAAAGTAAGCGCCAAACGCACAAAAAAATGAAAACATAGTAACAGTTTGCCATTTTTCGCCTTTGTGATACCTGGATAGACGTTGGCGTCAAAAGGCACGCACAGTACATAAGAGCTAATGCAAAGGTCAATTGATGCGCTTAAGTAGCGCCACCTCTAATGATTACGGAGAGTTACCATAAGTCGTATGCAATTGATGTTGAGAAAAAGAAGAAGAAGAAACAGACATTCTATTCATTTACATTGCAATAATGGCAATCAGGAGAGATGGTGCTCATGTGCCGATCATATCACTGTTACAACCCTTCGGTTGGCGTATTCTTCATTCCAAATACATGCTCCGCATGTTTGTTTCTGTTTTAATCCGATTGTGACGACAACCAAATGCAAACTGATATGCATTTGTTCGCGACGTCGATCTACTCATATTGCTAATTGTTTATAGTAATTACACAAACACCAATAAAATATTGAACACAATATCGAAGTCGTCAACCATTTTCTTATGTTTGAAGTGTCAATGAATGAATCAATTACATTTGAGTACAGCATTTTGAATTTTCATTAAACGGTTTCAAATACTGTTCGGAATAGACTGAGACAATTATCATTTTCGGAAGAAAAAAGAATATTGCATTTATGATTCTGGAAAAATGAGAAAATAATGCAATTTTTTGAAAAACAAGAGCGAAATTCGGATCTATTCCTTTGAAAAGTCCGGGCGAAATCCGGGTAAATTTGGCAATATCCGGGTATCCGGGCCGGGCGATTGTTTGGCCGGGTTTCGCCATGAAAATTCGGGCAAACCCGGATTTATCCGGGCAAACCCGGATTTATCCGAGCGATCTGGATGCTTATTCATATGGCCTTTGTCTTATTACCGAAGAAATGTGTTAGTTATTGTTCTTGACCTATTATTTATTCATAACGGAAACTAGCTTTTGTGTCAATGTATTTGCGACTTTTTATGTCTTTTGGTCTAGACTAAATTGTAAATTCATAAATAACCAATTTATTAGATCAGACGTAAATATTTTCATCAATGTATCACCACTTGATAAATTGAATGATGACTTTTGTCTACAATTTCAACGCTTCAGCTGGCCTATCTTTTTCTTAGGAAAAATAAAAGGTGTCTGCTAAACGTCTACAAGCCAAGCAAATGATGTTATTGTTAGTGTACTGCTACAGCGGCGTTATTGTTAGTTCTAGACTATGTCTGTGTGGTCAACGGTCCAGAATAACGTTTAGTATACATTTCTTTGGTAAAAAGGTCCATATGAAGCGCTATGCATTTTGAACATTTTGTTTGCAGGTAGATAATCTGACAAATATATTTACGTCTGTTTAAGTAAATTAAAACCAGAAGATGAAATTAACATTAGATCTTAATCCTTTGATCAGTCCAACTAATCACTAAATCAATTTATATGACAATAATATACAATAGATTTACAGATAAGAACATAAAGATGGATTTTTTCGGTCATTTTCAAAACAAAAAAATCAAAGTCCGAACTTTAAAATAAAAGTCTGGACTCTATCAAAAAATCTCAGGAAAATCAATAAAAATTGCGGTTGTTCCGATGCAAAACATCATTACTTGGTACAACAATCTTCATGTCAACGATAAATATGTGCTTACAATTTAGACTTTGGACTTAAGAATTAAAGTCCGAGCACTTGGAATGAACATAACAGAATCATTTTCTTGGTCTCCATGTCACTTAATCAATGTTTCAAAATCATTTTATTGTATGTACGCATCGAAACTACACTGAAACTCTACACTACTGTATTACAATGTGTATTCACTTTATATATCTTGGAAAGTCTGACATTCATTATGTTTTACCTGGTGAACCAAATGGTCCCGCTTGATTTGGCCCATTGTATTGTGATGTCGATGAATTTGGAGGCGCTCCAGGAAAATTAGATCCTTGGGGTGGTGCTGGCCCAGGTGTAGATGACCCTGAAGGTGCTGGTGAGGCTGTATATTGTGGTGTATTGGATCCAGGTGGTCCTGCAAGTGTGGCTGGACTACTTTGACCACCATCTGGGAAAACTGCGGTAAAGTTCAGTTTGTTTTTAACCAATTGGTTTAATTAAACGACATGAAAAATACGAATATTGAAATATTCACCATTTGAAGCTGTTGATCCAGTTATGTTTCGACAATCTCTATGTAGAACGGGATTTGAGATTGCTGTCCCGTTTTTGTTGCTAACACATTGTTGTAAGCCTGTAAAAGAAATATTATTTAGGCACCGAAATGAGCGAACTAAGCTTATAATATTGTTTACCTAACATTTCTCAAAATTGTTCAGGTTGAACGACTTAAATGGAGATAAAATGACAATTGTCCACTCTAAATTATGTTCGATTCTTTGATATTTCAAATAACAATTATTTTCGAATCTCAAACATGTGAGGAAACAGTCATTTATTTTGGTGTAAACATGTTTGCACTTGTTGTGGTACTAGCCTTGCACTCTATGTATTCTTTTTGATTGTATTTATTTACTTTTAATGATAATATTTTATAGTTGTCACATTATAAGTCCATTAATAGTGTAAATGTATTCTATTTGGTATTTATGATGAAAAAAGTGCAAAGATAAAGTCAAATATTCACTTTAAATACAATAAATTTCAATCCACGATCTCAATGAATTTGTTTCAACTAATTGTTTTATTTTGATTTTTAAATCTGAAGTCACTTATTTCCAATATCCAATAGCGAATCGTGAACATCACCGCAGAAAAATCTATAAAAGAAATTTGAAATCAGAAATTGTTAATTGAAAAAATATAACCTGCTTGACAAATGAATCAAACTCATTTTAGCAGAGTGCTATGCTTTTTATTCAAGCATTTCCACCTGTCGGATGAAAGTACTTCAAGAAGGGTTAAAAAAAACCATCGAATTAGGCTTATAATGGAGAGAGCATTATTTGTCCAAATTTGGTTGGTAATTCGTAGAACACTTTTAAAAAAACTAGTTTGAGTTTTCATAGTATAAAGAAAGTAAAAGATGGCATTTCGTCAACGTATGGTCTTTTTGCTCTCTTTTGGAGAAATATTGGATTGGGTTCGATTTAGTTTGACCGACTGTTACTCTTTTAGATGTTGTGTAAAAACGTATCCAAAGAAAGCTTAATTATTAAATTGGGAATGAGTGTTTCAATCATTGTAGAAAATGGATCGGAAGAAACCAAATATTTTAATATACTAAATAAAAATTTGTAAATTTTCTATTTACATGCACTTTCCACAGAAACACTTTCAATTTTACATCAATAATGATTTCATGGAATTTTGGGGTAAAAACTCGTTTATCCCTTTATTTCACTTGGCTTGCGACTTTTTCAATAACCTTTTTTAAATATTTATCCTTTCTTTATGTATTTTTTTCGTTCAACAAGAGACACCTAATAAATATGTAAATTACCAGAATTATTCAGTTTGAAGAAATCACTTCTTTTTCGTTCAATTATAAACAACACTATACAAATGAAAGCGACTCAACGATGACGACGCCATGATAATTTGGTTGAATTCAATATTCTGTGTGTTCTCGCTTCGGTTTTTGGTTTTGTTTTTGTAGTGTGTTCGCGCGCGCTATTCATATTTCCGTGTGTATGTATTGGATGGAAGCCATCAAAAACACACATACAGAAATAATATGCAAACAATGCAATAAACTATTCATGAAGTTTCAAGTTTAAATTTATGTTTTGATTTTATTTGTTTATTTCAAAATAAGTATATTTTTCGTCAAATTTATTATTTAAATAAAATTCTTACACGTACAGTTTTGCTTTCTGCATGAATGTGCGATAGTTACCGCAATTGGTTACATATACATGAACAATTTATTTTCCAAACATATACATATATAAATACGGATGCATAATCTGAAAAAGATGTTTTTCAAGAATATGGGGGGACAAAGTGAATAACTTCGAAAACAAGAAAATTTTGGTTTGAGCAACAAAAAACTACCATTTTAACATCAATATATACACTCTTATACAAAAATATAGTACAGCATTACGCATAAAACCATCTATTTTTTTAGCATTATTTGACATTACCAATATATTTTTTTCACTAACATCACAAATACGGCGCTGTTCACAAATAGGGTTCTCAAGATCCAGACCACAAATGAAATAGTCAACATTTTTATTGTTGTTGGTTTTTTTTAATGTCAAATCACAATTTGGACAATGGATTCTAGTATTTATATTGCTTGAATATTTTTATTTTTTGAAATAAAATCTCACGTATAAAAAATTTATATACGAATATTAAAATTCGGGTGCGTTCCAAATGAGAATTTTTTTTCACATTATTGTCTGAAAATGGCTGAGTGTCAGATCTCGATGCGTACAAAAAATACATGAAGAACGTAACGCACACATTGAAATAGAATAAGGGACGACAGCATTTGTAAAAAATCAGAATAATCAACGTGAAAGCTGTGTAGTGTCACCTAATGCTCATTTTGCAAGTTTATTTATTATTGTTTCGACTTTTGTTCGAAATTTCGTTACGAAAAATAAAATAAATTAATTTTAATATTGTCGCAAAATGAGATCGTGAATATACTAAAGACGCAATCTGTATATGTTGTTTTTGGTCGAAAAAAATTAATCGATTTTCATATACAAAAGAGAATTTATTCCGAAGATATTACGGAAATTATTTGATTTAAAATTTAGGATCAATTACAAGGAAGTAGTTCAAACAAAGAAATTGCAAAATTTATCAGTTTTCTAGCCAGTAAGGCCGTTGGTCTATATTTGTGATTACCTTTTCTTCGATTTTTGTTCGCAATCATGGGAAAACGCAAGAATCAACCTCTAATAGACTCTGATTCAGATAGCAATAATGATACAGGCTCAGACTTAGAATCGGTAATTTTCAAATTATTGTTGATGATTGAAATAAAATTGTCAGAAGATTGAGTATCTTTAACATTTATATCAGGAGCTCTTATCGTTGGCAAAAAAGAAGAAGAAACCATCAACAAGTGAAAAGGGGAAACCGAATAAGCGCCAAATGTCAGTATCTGATTCTGATTCTGATTCTGAGTCTGGATCTGATTGGGTGAGTTTTATTATAATTTATTTACATTTGATCAAACAACAATGAAAACTATAATATATTTAAAACAAGGATGAGAAGAAAAAAGTTATCGAGGAAACAAACCAAATGGCTAGAAATGACTCAGAGGAGGACGAAAAGTCTGAGTTAGAGGAGGGCCAAGTTTCCACCGATGAAAGCTCGGACAGTTCAGACTCGGAGTTTAATGACGGATATGACGAAAACCTTATGGGAGATGAAGAAGATCAAGCTCGTTTACATGCATTATCCGAGAAAGAGCGTGAAACAGAAATTTTTAAAAGAAGTGAACGGCGTGATGCTCTACGTCGGCGATGGGAGATTGAACAGAAGCTAAGACAAGCGAAGCGCGTTGAACGTGCTAAAGATAAATCAAAAGCACCAAAAGATAAAAAGAAAAAGGAAGAAAAACGTAAACGTCGCGAGCAAGAAAAAGCAGCTTCGCATGTGAAAATTACCACAGGTATTTTCCAAAATTTATCAACATAATTCTCTGCCAGTTTTAGTTTCAGAAGTTTAACTTAGTTCAATTCTTATATCAGAAGAAAAAGTACTGGATTCTAACCTAGCAGATAAGGCGATAGCATCATCTCCTTTATATGAAAATAAAGATGAGTCGATAGTTACGAATTCCACAGCTACAGAATACTTTGATCCAAAAGAAAGATCAAAAGAGCGTAAAAAGAACGTTGAAATGAATCGAACAGACGATAAACGAAGTAATGCAATGGCTGCTCTCAAAGCAAAACGAGAAGGAAAGCAAAGACGAGAAGAGGAAGAAGCCAAACGACAGGCTGAACGGGAAGGCAACGAAGAGTTGGATTCTGGTATAGAATAATAATAAATCAAACTAAAAAATATTTTATATATTTCCATTTCTACCATTTTTTGTGTTTTTTTTTCAAGGAGTTTCTGGTGGCAAATCAACAGTAAAACTAAAAGCATCCGATATTTATTCCGACGATAGTGGAAGTGAGAGTGAAGACAAGCGATCTGGAAAACGATCTACGAGTAGCAGCCGATCTTCTAGTGACTCTGACGAAGAGGATAATTCTACAAAAGCAGCAACTGGTACTAACTAAGAAAACATAATAGATTAAATATCAAAAAAAGTTAAATATAAATATGATTGATTTTAGCTCAAAAGCCTGCTTACATAACCACCAAAGAAGAATTGAACAAATTGCGTATATCTCGACACAAAATGGAACGTTTCATTACATTACCATTTTTCGATAAACTTGTCACCAATTGTTTTGTACGTGTAACAATCGGAAACAATACCTCAAACAATCAACCGGTGTACCGTTGTGCTGAGATTATTGGTGTAGTTGAGACTGCCAAAATTTACTCATTAGGCAAACATCGAACAAATAAAGGTTTAAAACTACGTCATGGGTCGTCTGATCGTGTTTTCCGTTTGGAATTTATTTCAAATCAAGATTTTACTGATTCCGAGTTCAACAAATGGAAAGAAGTTTGCTTAAATGCAAACATTGAAATGCCAACCGTAAACCTAATTGAACGTAAGTTACAGGAGATAAAAGAGGCCTTGGTTTACGAATTTAAAGATGAAGATGTACAAAAAATCATCGAAGAAAAGAATCGCTTTCGTAAGCATCCAACTAATTATGCAATGAAAAAAACATGCTTAATGAAGGAGCGATATGCGGCTGTGTTGCGAGGTGAAGATAATTGAATAGCATTCATATTCTATAATAGAAACGTTGAACGAAATAGTTTTTATATTTTTCTCACAAGGTGAAGACGAACTGGCTCGCGATTTAACCATGCAAATAGAAGAGTTAGAAGAACGAGCAAGTGAACTAGATAAAAAACGTTCAAGTAGCATTTCTTTGATTTCGTACATTAATGATAGAAATCGAAAACGGAATGTTGAAGAGGCCGAAAAAGCCATCAAAGAAGAACTAAAAGCCAACAAGGGAATGAAAATCGATGATCCATTCACTCGTCGATCAACAAAACCAACAATGAAATTCAAACAACGTACAGCTGAAGAAGAGGCAATGCTCATGAAGCCCGCTCCGCCTCCAAATTCGGGTCGATTCAATAAAAAAGAGGAAGACGAAAAGAAACAGTTTGGACCAACTGATAATAATCTATATTCTCTACACGATTTTGAAATTGATCTGGAGGTCACTGTGCCCACGACATCAACGTCTCATGTTTTACCAAAACCGATAATTACAAAGGTTAACGATGCTGCGCCCAAACGGTCACTCAATTTGGAGGATTACAAAAAGAAGCGTGGACTAATCTAATGTGCATTCCAAGACACATTTTACACTAACTGGTGTTATTTTTAAAACATCCTGAATTAATAAGAACTTCGAAACTTGAACTAGTTTAGAGAAAAACCGACAAACATGTACGAATCATGATGTGAGAATATAATAAAATATAATATGAAACCAATTGATTTGTAAACTATAGTTCAAATCAAATTTTCCGTTATTGAAGTAGAGGTGTAACCAATTTATACAATCCATGTGGGGTTCTCTGAGTTTTCAGTTTAACTTCAGTAGTAGGAAAAGGCGGGTTCTGGGCCAACTCTTGCGTCAACCA